TGTTCGATAAGTCTGCGGCCGCCACAAGATTCCATAATTTCGTCATTATGAATTAAGTTTGTCGGTACACGGTTTTTCAAAATGTGTCTAACTCCGAGGGGCTGCGTGCCAATCTAGGCTGAGACAAATATTTCTAAAACGACTCGAGCATTTTTACCCGAGTTTATCTGTGTATCATTCAGAAATCAGAAACTATTTATTCAACGTAAGCCTTTACAGGCACTCATTGATGTCATCTATACAAACAAAAATATAATTTTAAAATTATAATAGTAAAAAATGTAATGGATTGGGTACCTTTATTAATTAACATAACAACCAGTGCATTGCTAGCGCAAAGTTAATCTAATTCCATGTTCATTTGTCTGTTATATCATCCTCAACTTTGTAATAGGCCTTCCTAATAAGTACTTTTTTAATACAGTTTTTAAACTTAGTGTCTATCAGGGCAACGACATCATCAGTTTTGTTATAAAATGTAGCACTACGGCCTTACGACCAGAAAAGATTTGGTGCTTTCACTGAGCCCGAATTTGGGGACCGATAATACATTTTTATTTCTTCATTATGATTTTTGTTGTTACCCTAGTCCTACTAGTATTATTAATATGAAAATTTGTATGTTTGTGTATTTGTTATTCATTAATGCAAAAACTACAAAACGGATTTTGATGAAATTCGGTATACATATAGTTTATGATCTGGATTGAGACAGAACTTTTTATCTCAAAAATATGTTAGGTTCCTGTGGGATTCTCTAAAAACTGCTGAAGAAGACACGGGCTGCGGCTAGTAACTTAAAATTATAACACAAACTTCACAGTGATAGGTACTTTTGATAGGCTAACTGGTGTAAGAATTATTTATTTATGTCACCCATTACGAAACAGCAAATATTCATCGACGCAAATTCGCGAATGAAAAATAAAAGTAAAATCTATCCGTTACTTGAAAATAAGATACACCGCACACTACACCACAATAAAGTACATACACTCAGGTCAACTTGCCTAAAACTCGCAAAAGCATCCAAACGACTTTGAGCTTTAAATTGCTTGCAATAAGATCAAAAATCCTTTGCGGCTATTTTACAAGCTGTGGATTTAATGTGTGGCTACGTGTACAACACCTCCGTCCGGTGATAATTTGAAACAATTTGTACGTCAACAACTAACGGTCATTGATAATGGACATTATAAATCAGAAATAGTTATACCTACGTGACCAATAAGCGTTATCAATCCTGGTGAAATTACTGAAGAATTACAAGATTTTTGATATAGTTCTTTTTTTTTGAGTGTGTATGCTGATGTTTGTCGCAGATGACCTTTACAGAGTCACCGGGTTTGGGGACGGCGAGATCCTAAGGGGACTTCAAGCCGAGAATTGGCGAGTGCCTCTAGAGGTATTCCAGGCGGATGAAATCTCGCCACGGGGGGTCTCCTCTCCGTCTGGAGCCTCTAGACCACTCGAACCTGAGGGCGTCTCTGAGACTCGGACCTCGGCTCTAGTTAGCCGTTGTCGTGGGGGGTTGATATGGTACTTCTATTGCGACGCTCAATCGCTAATATAAAAGCCTACTGCTCAAACTTATAGCCTCTTATTAGTAAACGAGAATTAAGCTTAGACTAATTACGCCGTGTTACATTTCTATATAAATACACTTATATATGTACAGTATATGTATTTCATCCGTTACCCTAGTATCCCATAACACAAGCCTTACAGTGCTTACTTTGGGGCTAGGCTAATTGGTGTGAGTGTTGGAAATATTTATTATTATTATTTGTCATTTAATGAACAGAGACAAAACATGGAGTAACTAATCAAAGCTAATTCTTAGTTTATTTATAAGGGGGTTAGGGTAAAATGAGGTGTTTCATTTTAGACCAAGTCTATGAACACATTCCTAGAAAATGGGATAAACCTATTTCCATAAAAATAATAATAGGTAGTTTCTTTAACTCATTTATTAGTACAGTGAAGAATAATGCGGAGATTTTGCTTGATTGATTTTTATTAAGTCTGTGGTAATATTAGTAATGGAGGCATTTCACTTTCGAAAATATTATGTGTAACAAAACTAAATGATACTAAAAAAGTCTGAACAAACTTTAGTGGTTAAAAAAACATTATGGGGTAATATTATTTATTTTTATATTAAGTAAAACAGTATGTACTTAGAAAGATTTTGTTGAGTACTGTGCTGTTATTGTATTTCTGAACTGTTGACACTTAACACTAGTTGACACATGACTGACAGTGACGTTAAGTTTTCTAGACAATTATGTTCGCCATTGCAGATTTTAAATGATATAACTACGGGACATTAACGAAATTTCTGTGTAAAACGGAAACAGCCACAGAGGAGGCAAAAAAAAAAAGATTTTAAATGTCATAATTAATTTTCAAAGATCTGTACCGCAAAATAAAGCTAAATATGGAAATTTTAATCCTAGGAGTCGACAACGTTTTCGATTTATTTTATTTGTACATAATGTAGAAGACCAAGACCTAGTCCCATACAAATATGAAACATCTCCTTTGTTTATCTCCTTTGGAAGCTTGATATCAGTCTGTTCTTTTCATTCCATATAAAGCATGAGAAGGATAGGCTGTTATCAAGTTTACAGATAGCAAATACGAATAGCCAAGTGAAGTGCCGATACAAAAACTCTGTCAGTCTTATAGTCACATAAGATAGACTGCAGCAAGCAAAGATTTCGGTTCCATCCGCAGAGGCATTGATATATTTTTTGTTCGTTTTAAATTTTGTTATTCTGGTTCTGATGTTTCATATGTACACGTTCATTTTGAAAAACGTTATTTTCTACGATCTCATATTATCGTGAAAAACAATTAAATATATTGAGCAGAATGAATGTTTTAATTCGTAGATTAGTAGCAAAGCCCATGCCATGTAAATGAATAGCCAGCCTTGAAGTAATAACAAAAAAAAGATTTTATAATAATAATACTGACTTCAATTATTTTAATGACAAATAATTATCTCATAATATGTATCTGAGTTAAGTAAAAAAAGGCCCATTTTTTTCATTCTCAAAACCGGAGTCTTAATGCTGTGTAATAATATTTCCGTGTCATAAAAAAAACAAAAGTTCACACCTAACACGACAGTTTGGAAAGAATCAGTTTAATTCAAGTTCCAAGAAAATATCCAGAATATGAGTTATTTAAATTGAAGGGAAAGGTCGATAAGGCTCGTATTACAGAATGACAACTAAGTGTTGATCTTTATTTCAGTACAGTTAGAAAGGGATGTTGCTATGTGCTATATATAGCGAAATCCCTTTCTAACTATGCTCAAAACTAGAACAATCACTGAGAATCTTTCTATAATACGGGCCCAAGATGGTTTTTCTATAATTAAAAAAATATAAAAGAATTTAAAGTCAAATCTCGCGGAAATTTGCAAGATTTGCTAATACGCGAGAGAATAGTTCGTACACGTTGTTAAAATGGAATCTGAGTCTGAAAAAAAATAAGAATTATGTATACTAATCCAATGAGTGCAATATTAAAAAGTGTTCAATTGAAAATTATGTGTATGACGTATAGAAGCTAGCGGAAACCTAGAACTGCATTTACAAATATGAATTGAATTTCACTTGACAATTTTGAAATTTGTTATGTTGTGTGTTTGCACCTTTATACAGCGAAAGATGTTCTAACAGTGCTATTTAGAGTCCAACTGACAAACCGAATGTTTAGCGCGGCCTGTAACTTCGCTAAATACATACTATTTGTCCCCGTTTTGTTTACACAAGTCTGGCATACTCATAACTTTTATTTTTGTAATGGATTTGTTTTTTATATACACCTCAAAAAGTGATTTAGGACTAAGTACGTAACGAAGTGAAGTAATTGCTTTCCCCTAAAATTCATAGAAATTAGAACAATGTTAGTAGGTATTGCAAATTTTACTAAATAGAGGGATTAATTTACTTATACATAAGTATTAAAGTATATCCAATCTGAAATACTGGATTTGATAAATATGATTGGGCACTTATCTTCATGATGAATAAAATTAGATAGTAGTAATAGTAGTTCTATTCTTTAAAATTAAGAAAGATGTAGTTATTTGACAATCCGCGAGTATTTTTTATCTTAAACCCAACCTATGTGAAATATTCCCCACAGTAATGTGGCTATGAAATTTTATAAATATTTCATAACTCTTCCTTCATATGGATAACTGTGTTCAGTGAAATTACGCCCATATTTATAATTATCACTTTAAGGTATTACGTGGCCATTAATCACAAATCTATCTTAGAAAGGAACCGACTTATAATTCCACTCGTTTCTTAAAGCAATTGCAAGTCGCAAAATAAAACAAAAACGATCTAGCTTATAGATTTACCGGTTTCATATCAACGTTAATTGAAAATGAACGTTTTCAATGTGGGAAAGATGACTTTTTAACTCGTCCACAAATGGGCATAATATGATACATGTACGGCGTCCAACATTTCTGATACTATGTGCCCTTATAAATCGTGCGCGATGGGGACAAAAAATCATGATGCTTGACATTCTGCAGTAGTTTCATTCGACTGATTTATTCCTACATGTTTGTTATTAAAACGAGCAATATTATGTTAAGGATTGAGATCGATAAGCTTTATGCGATCTTATAGAAAGTGTAAGGTTCTAAATAATGTAATATAATTTTTGTAATGGAATTTGTTTGATGTGTTGTCGTTTTTGTGTACGATTGTGATCGATGCGATGTACGATTCCCAATGTTTTACAATTTATGTGGATATATTATATTCTACCATGAGTAGAGATATACTAATAAGCTACTGAAATACGATTAAAACATCCAACTAGAATTTTCAATGTAGAATAATTACTATGATTTTCATTGAGATTTTTACTAAACTGACTTATGTTTGTTCTCAGAATATGATGCACGGTTGTGTATTATAAACATAATATCTTACGATATAGGCAATATAGTATGGACATACCACTAGCATGTAGTTTTCTCTCTTGAGAATCTTCAGCATCCATCGACGATTGTTTCTGAAAGAAACCCTAGAAAAGAGAAAGATTTTGTAATATAACCAATATCAAATATTCCAAGTTAATATCGAATGAGAAAAACATTTTCAATTTCTTTACCTGCATTTGTAAATTAGCTAAGTCTTCTAAATTTTTCCTCATAAGTAAATTTTGTTGTTCAAACTCTGAGACACTGTTCCCAGCACTCGACGTGGTTGACTGTTCCTGCAAACAATTTGTTTTCAAAATTACAAACAAAATTCTTAAGAAACTTTTTTATTTACCTATATGGTTTCTTTTATTATAAATTTTTGATTTACCTGACCATCTGTATCCCTGGAGACACTCAAGTCCAGGGTTTGGTCACCGTCATCTGATCCACTACCCTCTTCCTCTTGAGTCTGAGATCTGCCAAACAACCTCATAGATTGTTGGTTGATTATTTGCAATGCCCTTTGCCTAAAAGTTTAAAACGACCTTGAAAATTGTGATTGTAGTTTGATTTGGAAAGACAATATATGTGTGCACTGAAATCTTATTACGCTGCAGCTACGATTTTGGACAAAAATAAATTACTTATATTTCAAAGTCAAATCATCTTTCCATTTAGACGACATTTGATTATTTTTTTTGGCTATTTAATAAATTATGTGTAAACATGAAGCACGAAGCAAATAAATTACAAAGTTTGTAGGTTATTTATAAATGATATCTTGTCAAATAGTACTCGTTTGCCAACGAACATGAAAAGCGCCATTAAAAAAGTAAGTATAATAACATTATCAGGGGATCGTTTTGCTGAAAAGGTAACGCTAAAAGTATTCTCCGCCTTCCATAGTTCCAACAAATTCAAAAATACCATAAAGGTATTCAGAGTGTAGAAAATGTCTGGGGCAGAGAATATTAATCCCAAACTTAGTTCAAAAAATTCTAATCATAACTAACCGTTGTATTTCTATATCGTTGTCAGGAGTTTTAGGCGGAGTAATATTTGTGGAACCCTCGTCTTCTGTTGCCGAGGAAGACCTTCGGAGACTTCTGTCATTGACGTCTTCAACGCCGGAATCATGGCGTCTCTTCAAACTTAAAGGTAACTGGGTGAACGGTTTACCTGATAAAGAAATATCTTATAATGGTGAATGCCTAATTAATAACTTATACTAAAAAATATAAATCTAGATACACCCTGGAATAATAATCGGAAAAATTACATTCATTGGAATAATAATCGGAAAAATTACATGAAAACAAGAAGATATCTTTTTGTATGACTGTTAAATCTTCAAAATTTTTGTAAGATTGAATTGATAAATGAGAGTACCTACTGAAAAATAAACTAACCTTGAAGCGCTTCCAAAGCTCTGATTTGCCCACTAATTGCATCGGCGACTTCATTGGATGACAAACCGTAAATCCCGAGTAGCTCCTTCATCGTATTCATGGCGTAATCCCTCAAAATTCTATTCGTAGCATTTGAAGCGTCACCATTTTGTTGCACATCAGCCGTCTCCATGGGCTCTTGTGCTTCTCCTATCCTGTCATTGGCATTGATATCTTGACCTTTGCTTTCTTCGTCCGACTCTGAGTCCCTTCTTCTGGGAGGCGAGTTAGTCTTAATCAGTTGTGATATAGCAAAAGGATTTTTGGCACAGAAAGTTTTGTTTTGTAAATTGCTAAAGTTCAACACGGTCCTGTCCTGTCTATCAGCCTCTTGGTTAATTTGTAAACTACGGATGTACGACCTCTGGTACGAGTCGATCTTCTTCGATGAGTCTTCAGGTAACCTGTTTTGGTAATTTGAGTCTATGTTTTCGTTCGAGTCCGTGCTCAATCGTCTGCTGAGATCGACGGCGCCTTCTTTGAGGAGGCGGAAGTTTTTAACGCCTATTTTGGCGTAGTTGCCTTCGTCTTTTTCGCCTTCCGCGGGGTCTGGTGTAGTTCGGTCGTTTCCGTTGATGGGACTAGCTTCACCGTTGCCTCCGTTGGAGTCGTCTGAAAACGTGGTAGCGTTAGGTGCGCAGCGCGGTTTGAAGTTCTTCCTTTTGTTCCGCTTGGGCATGTTATAGTAGGACATGTCCGTGCTGTGGTCTTCCTGATGGTCCGCCTGGTCGGGCCACACCGGTGCTCCATGATGCAGGTACAGGGGCTCGTCCGCCGCCGGTTGGAGTCTCTCGTGGATCGATTCTTGGTGTGCGGCCATCGCGGAAGTCATTGCAGTATTTGGACCCTTTCGACGAGCACGTGAAACGAGTCCAACCTGCAAATAAATATCAACATCCGATATGATTAAAAAGGAAATTCAAGCTGTTAAGGAAATTAGAAAACAATTAAGGTACAATCACCTAGTTTCGTTGTAGTATTAAAGTGTAACGTAACTATTATTTTTAACACTGATGCGGGAATTTAATGAAAAAATGGTAACATTGTGAAAAACCGATTGCAATACACTCGGCCACAGAGCTCACCAACGGCTTTTAAAGTAATCCAATTTTGAATTCAACATCACTCCAGTCTCGATCCATAACAAAGGTGATTCATTTTCGATTTAAACGTAACATTGTGTCCAGTTCGGAGACAATAGTCTTTTGTTGACAATATAAAGATTAGCTGAATACTGTGGAATGTTTTGAATTTAAATTTTCTCTTCATTGTTTGGAAACACAATAATTAAAATTGTTTTGTTGTCAATTAATTTGTGCCGCGACGAACCTTACCGAGGTATAAGCTTCATGGGTCGATCATTTCCTATTTGGTTTCATAAATATTATAATCAGTCTTCGAAGTCAGCCATTTACCGTTGATCATCTGGAACAAGAAAAAACAGATGTGAATTTCGATGGAACTAAGTAACTTTTTTCTAACGAAACAATCAAATTTTAAGCGGTGTTGTCTATCAAAATGTATAATCTTCTCTATGCGTACCACGTAATTACGCCAAAAATTACTCAATATAAAAGAGATAACTAAAAACCATTTGCCGCTACGAAACATCAAACACAACGAAAATTATCCGAACATGCGATTTTCGCGTAAAGTAATTTTTGAGCAAAAACCTCGTTCCGTTTTCTAGCCGAATTGACGTAACACACTATAATTTAAAAATAATGATACAAAAAAAAGCAACGTCAAGTAACACGCATCGATCAAGTGAGTCGGTATAAAATTAATTATATTCAACATATTAGATCTATTTTCGAGAAAACGAGATTGCTCCGAGCGAGGCGAGAGAGAAAAAAATAACATGTATTCATGTCGAAATTGGTAACGTGGTTTGGTGTACAATTACTTATTAAAGCTAATACAAAGATTCGGCCTTCGCGTTCGGGTCACAAAGAGTATCGATCTCTCAACAATTGGAACGTCTCAAAATTGGCCGTTTACCCTACATAAGTTTTGAAATTCGAACGAGTTTTTTGTTCTTTTTTAATGTTTCGTTGCTATAAACGAGAATGTTCACACAAATAGGTTTATTTCGAAGGTAATGAATGTTGGTTTTCGAGAAATAATATTGATATACTACGTGACACAACATTAATTATTTTGCTATTCAAAGTTAATACTTAGATTGGAGAGGCAAGAATATTTGATTTGATTAACAACTTCCTGTATTAATTAGTTTAAAAGAAGCTTTCGGAAACATTAACATTTCCCTGATTATTTAAATCGTGTTAATACTTAATAGAAAAAAAAACAATAAAAGTCATAATCAAAATTTAAAATTAGAAGTAGAAAGTTTTAAAATTCGAACAAAACACACGCTCGAGTAAATCTTTAAAATGGCGAATAATTTTTGGACGCTCACTCCATCCGGCTCCGGTTGTAGTGAGTGATCTAATAAGTAATAAGAGCACTAATCGCGTCCGCAATGTAGTAAACACAACAAAAACAGGCTTCGGACACAGTAAATAATCCCTACCAGTAACTTAAGACAGATCCTTAATATCCTTAAGTTCACTTGTATTATGCTTCCAATTGTGAATAAAGATTTTTTTTACTTTTGACTTTACTCCTTCTTGGTTGCTAATTTTCCACCAGTAATTTGGAAAAGTACAGAACACTTGATATTATGACCCAACAGTGAATAAGGTGTCGAAAGTCCAAATCATCATCGTTTGCCTATTAAAATCCTCACTGCAGGGGACTGCTGGGGCACGGCCGTTCCTATTCAACGAATAGGGAGAACAGCCCTTGGCCCACCGCGCCCGCCCTATGCATATTGGTGATTGCTTTGCACTGTTGCCAGGTCTACCGATTTTACAGGAGATCTGCTGTTTTTCTGAAATTTCTCCTGTTCTTCTGTTTTTCTACATGAATCTAATGTTCTTAGAATACGATTTTCTTTTTTAAATTGCAAGTTGAGTTGCGGTTTCCGCCATTAAGAATGTAGGTAACCTTAATAATAATAAAATAAATATGTTATTGTCTAAAAAAACGAGCTTTGAGGGGCGGCAGAAGCCAATTTACCAATTATAATCGGAAAAGGGACTCCTTTGCATCTACTGTTTTTTCTTGTAGCTCTTTCCACACATCTACAGCTTTATTCTTTAACGCCTCCCGATTTTTAAAAATCACACCTGGTAATACTGATGCTATAGCAGATACAGCCAGGACCAACGGCTTAACGTACCTTCTGAATTCAAATTCCCCAAAACCTCTAAAATTTCAGTTATGTCGTACTGTTCACATATTGACTGTGCAGCCTTTCGTGCTGTCTGTTCCTCTCATTACGTGTGGTGTGGGCCGTTGGTTGCTCACACATAAAATACGGAATTTGACATGAGAAAACTTGGCTGGCCTAATCTATGTCAACAAAGAGCTAATTACATTTCAAACATAACTTTTTTATTAACTTGTTCCAAATTTGAAATACTGAGACACGGCTTCAATTCTTTTTTATATGAATGTATGATAGAGTTAATTAGAATTCATAATTCGAATTATTGTCTTTTGTTTTTTTATTAAAAGTACTGTAGGTATTATTAATATTGGTACTGGTTACAGAGCTTCCATATAAGACAAAAAATCTATGCAGTTGCATTGATAATGTTCCATTATTAACACGGTCCACTAATTATTGACCAATCACACAATACCATGAGTGAGCACCGAATTCCTGTCGCTATCACACAGCCTTGAACAAATCTAAAGAATTTAGTTCAATGAAAACAGCCCATTGTTATATGGACACAAATAAAAACACTTATTGTTTCATTATTAGACACTTAATTGGAGTTTCGAATTTTGTTTTCACGATGCTAAAGGTCAGAGTTGGTAATTAAGTATCAGAATCCACGCTTGTGTAACTTTTTTTAGATCCAATTTGAGATAAAACCTAATCTCGAGATATTGAAAGCTTAAGATATGAGCGAGCGGCTCTAAAATGGCCGGCTAAGAAGTAATTATAAAATAAACATTTAGAGTATTGGAGCTAAGCTTCGAAGACAATTGATCTGGTTCTTGATTTTTTGTTTGTTGCGCAAGAGTTGTTGATAATATAGTCGGTTACGTATAGAACAAGAATTTCGGATACATTATATCCTAGCGTAGGCTGCCCCGAATATTGATAATGGTTGATGATTTATCATCTTTATCTAATTAAAACGAGGCTGAAAACGGCTATAATTGTGTAACTCATGTTAAGTGTTTATTGCGCAAATAGTTTTCGCAAGTTTTCGAATCCTGAAGAACCTTTTTTGGATTGCCTTGATATTTATTTTCTCGTTATATCATGTGAAGTCTAGATTTTTGTCAAGCAGCCATATTTCAGAGCACGGTCAAAAATGTGCTCGGTTAGAGGCGTCGTGAAAGCGGCAAATGTTCGCGATAAATAAATAAATATTTCCAACACTCACACCAATTAGCCTAGCCCCAAAGTAAGCACTATAAGGCATGTGTTATGGGATACTAGGGTGACGGATAGAATACATATACTGTACATATGTAAGTGTATTTATATAGAAATACATATTAAACATCCCATGACTGGAGTACAAATGTTCGTTTTCATCACACAAACATCTGCCCCCACTGGGATTCGAACCCGTGACCTTTCGAGTCGACGACATCATGAAACCCGGAGTACAAACCACTCGACCACGGAGGTCGTCAAGATAAGGCAAGGGCGGATCCAGCTTTAGCGCCAGGGGGGGGGGGGGTCATATAGCCAGCTTTGGCCCAGGTATATAGTCATATAGTCGTGGTATATTAAATATTGAAAGTACTTAAATAAAATCCCCCTGGGTTTGGTCCATCTGTACCCAGCCCAAGGGGTGGTCATGACCACCATGACCCCCCCCCCCTGGATCCGCCCTTGAGATAAGGTCGATAGTGCAACAATGCAACCATAGCATAATAGTTATTTAAAAAATCTCCTTCCATTCGGGTTTTCAGTACAATTAGCATGAACCAATATCGAATTCGTTACGTTTGCGAGTACGAAATGTCATTGTCAAATATGTATACTGATTTTTAGTTCTAGTTACGTCCGTTACGGTGCTGTTTTTCAAGTTTCCATACAAATTTTGAGAATGACATTTCGGTCTTGCAAACTATTCGAATTCGATAATAGTTGGTGCTAAGGGTACTCCACTGTTCATGTAGGAAACCGCTCCACCAGATGCCTTAGAAAATAGTTTTCGTTTCAACTTATAGTGGCCTTAACTGTACTACCAAATTACAACCCTATATCAAGTTTATATTAATCTTCATAGTTTCATTATTTATAAGCAGCTCCAATCGTCCAGTCTCCAAGACAACGAGGACAAAAATCAAACAATTAATTTTTAGGAGTTCCAAAAAGTTTTGAACACAACGGATTTCTTACAATAGGCTGGTGATAAAAAAAACACGATTAATACAGATAATCGTATGATCAATTTAAAAATCACTTCCGTCGTCCTTCGCGCGGCCATCTTGGACGATCATGTTGTGCCCCGATCAATATTAATAATGCGCCGGCGCATGTAATTGTGTCCGTTTTATTGTTATTACATATTATTGGATATTGTTCCATCCAAGGCTGCATTTGTATATGGTCAGCGACATCTAAAGGCTTTGCATGTGACAATATCAAATTTTAAGTTATGCTTCGTTATGTGCTTACTTACTACTTTTTTTTATGTTTAAAGATTGACAAACAAGTCCCGCCTGTTGTTAAGAGACTACCATAGGCTTATAGACGCTTGCGATATCATAAATATCATTCGTACCATTGCCTACCTAATCCCCTACCCCGCGGAGACCTGGGGCCTTACACAAAGACATATTATTTCATCCCCATCATCTTGATGCGTGGCTATCCACAACCGTGCGTTTTTGTCGAAATTTTTTACCACGTACGACAAAACTGTGGAATTTAATGTCGCCAGCAGTGTTTCCGGACCAATACGACCCAAAAACCTTCAAATAAAGAGCGTACTCCTTCCTTAAAGGCCGGCATCGCATTTGTGATACTCCTAGTGTTGCAAGTGTCCATGGGCGACGGTGATCACTTACCATCAGGTGAGCCGTCTGATCGTATGCCCCCTATAATATAAAAAAAAGACAGAAACACAACTCCACCAAAAGGTAGCAGCATTTTCCTGTCATCTACTGAAAGGTGGAGTTTCGTTCCCCAGGTGGAGGGACTTCATTCAGAGTGTATTTGCTCAGTCTTAATAATTATCGTCGTATTTCATGTTACAAGTTTTGTATGATGCTACGTAACTTTTTTACACCCTTATTAATGAACGAGACGTAAGCTTAGAATAGTTACGCCGTGTTTTGTTAATATCACGCAAATGCCATTTGTCATTCAATGAACAGAG